AGAGAGAGAGAGAGAGAGAGAGAGAGAGAGAGAGAGAGAGAGAGAGAACACACACCAAAACAGGATGCTTGGTGAGTATATAAAAGCCAGGAAGTCAGAGGCAGAGGAAAGAGAGGTGTTCTGGGAAGTACAGGTCCACTGAATGGGAAAAATGGAGACTGGACCAGAAAACAGGAAAAGGCTTGGTACGAACAGTGGGATGTGGTCAAACCCAAGATGGCATGGAGCAGTAGGACACGGATGGTGTGATTTGACCTTTCTGCCTCTTCCCTGATGACTGTGTAGGAAGGATTGCCAACTGGGACACATACATTAACAAACTTTTGCGGCTTCATGGACAACTTAGGTATTTTGGTGGTAAGCAGAATTCTAAATACCTAGGGGAACAGTTTCTTACATCATCTGATTTCTTACAGTGTTGTGAGTGGGGTGGATGTTAACACTCTAAAAAGTGGTATCTCCTGTTACTTTTGATCTGACACCTTCAAGATCCGAACAAATGAATGATAGCCTAGAGTAAGGTAAGTTCTCAACCCCTGCTAACTCCCCTACCACCAAAAACAGTTAGTTCCTTGATCATGCTAGAAAATGCATGGTGTTTCTGTAATATATATTCCTACGTGTCAGTGATAGCTATAGCATTTATAGTCAAATGCTTCTGTATCCATTACTTGATTCTCAGGTAACTTAATAAGACCTCCCCAAAATTATGATTCCAGTTCAACCTAGAACCTAAAGTTACTTAGTTACAAAGTGGAAAAGCTGAAGCTTTCCTCCTCTAAACACATATTCACCATCTTGAGAGATTTAACTGTCCACCTCCTATGTGGGTGGCAATGCCATTGTCTTGTGTCTCTCTTGGTAGTCTATTGCTAACACTGACATGCCACAGCTATTACTCTTTTCCCATTGAATTGATGGCTGAAAAAGCTGGGTTTCCAAAGAAGGAAGCAGAATTATCTTACGTGCAAAGGATATCAATGGGCCGAAAAACATCACTGGATGGGCTGTTGATAATATGATTCAGAAAAAAGCCAAAGAACTATCATTTGTTGGTGAAAAGCCACAAGTGGGAATATAGATACTGCACAATATATTCTAAAACTATTTTTTTTTAAAGAAAGAAATCTAAAAGTCGTACAGAGAAAAGAATGCATTTATGTATAAGTTCCTTGAATTAAGTTCTCCTGGAAAGCATGTCCACATTTTTGAACATTCATTTACATACTCACTCAACAAACATTTGCTAAGCAACTACATATGCTAGCCCATATTCATTTATAGATTTTTTTTTTAAGTAAAATGCCCTAAGTTTGGATCTTAAAAGAAAGTTCCACCTGGAGTTTCCAGATAAATTATATGATACCCTGTTGTTTGTCTTGATATCCATGGCAACAGCAAGACTTATTCTTCTAACATCCTCCATCTCTGGCTTTGGATCCCTCCCACTCCTTTATTTTGACCTCTGTTTTGTCTCTTGATGGGAGAAGTAAGAAAGAACCCTGCTTTGTCCCATGAAGAACGGCTTGTGCTACCTTTCTTTTTCTCTGATTCTTTTGCTTCCATGTTCAATATTGAAATATAGATGGACTTTCCAAACTGCCAGTGGCAAGTAACTCTGGGAGAAAGGGCAAATGAGAATCATTCAACCCCAAATGGGGTCACGACCCACAGGTTGAGGACCACTGTCTTATATGGAGGCATTTCTATTTGTGTCCATTGTGGAGCTAAGGAGAGGGCAGTCTTTGAGGCTTGGAGCTCTTTCTCTCTGGATTGGTAGGATCCAGGAAACACTATCTTTCCCACGTCCTCTGGATAGTATCTTCATAAAACTATCTATTCTGTCTATAAAGACCCAGAGTTACAGGAGCCCAGGTTCTTTGGAGAAGCAAACAGCTCAGAGCAGCTTGGACTCTTCAACTTCTGTTATTTAGTTGAAAGACTGTCCATAAAGCTTTCAGTGGTTCAATTTTATTTATTCATTCATTCATTCATTCATTCATTCATTCATTCATTCATCTTTGGAACAGAATAAACTTACTTTCTCCTCTCAGTCATCTAAATAATGCAAATAATAGCTATAACATCTATGACATTTACTATGCTAGGGGCATCTTTAGGTCATATATGTTAATCAATATTCTCAGAGGCAGCACATGGAAGGTATATCACGACCATCCATCCATCCATCCATCCATCCATCCATCCATCCACCCATCTATCTATCTCCCTCTTTTCCACCTCCAGAAGTCAAAGTTTAAAGTATTAGATAATTTCTACCAAGGTGGCACAGTTTGGTAGTAAGTAAGTAAGTGGGCCTGAATTCCAGGCCCAGCAATTTGTCTCCAAAGAGCAAGCTTTGAATCTACACTATGTCACCTCTAAAACACAGGTACTTGAATATAGGTCATGCCTTTTCTATAAAGGATTTTTGTGATTTGGGAGGACTTTATTCCTATGATAAGTACAGCTAGACTTCTCTCTAAAGGGGACTTATGATGAGGTTTCTTTGAGATCTGAGCTCTGTTGTTCCCACAGCCGGCCTTCTACACCCTGGTCAGAGAAGGGGTACTCACCTGTATGTACGAACATGTGCTTGACGTAGTTCTGTTTGGCTGTGAAAGTCTTGTTGCAGAGAGTGCACTCATAAGGCTTTTTGTCGCCTTGCCCACTGGCTGTGCTGTGGCCTGCAGATGAGGCCAGGGGCTGTGGCGCTGGCAGCTGTGCAGTAAAGGTGGACAGGCCTGGCTGGGACACTGTCACAAACTGGGTCTGTTGGCCTGTCAGGGGCTGTGGCAGGCTGAAAAGAAAAGGCTTGGGGCCACTGCCCGCGGGCTGGGTAGTGAAGAGGGCTGGCAGATAGGTGTTGCCAGCTGTGCCAATGACCTGTGTGTTGCTGGTCAAGGTCAGAGGCATCCTCAGGTTGCTGGTGAGGGTTTCTGTCTGGCGTAAATAGAGCTGGGTACTTGGCAATGGCTGCCCAATGGATGTGTTGACTGAAGGCTGCTGTAGGACGCCCTTATCGGAGCTGTTACTGACAGTGATGACTGTGTTGTCCATCTCTACCTCGTTGCTTCTCTCAGGAGAGGAGGCACCTGTTTCTAGCTGGTTTGGCTGGGCACTGCTCTCAGCTGGGGCTTCTGCTGCCTGCTCAGGTTGGGCAGGTTCCGCCTGACCATCCCTTGTGGCTCCTGCCCCAAACTGCTGTTCCACTGAGTCTGGTTCGGTGCCAATAGAGGAGCTGACCCCAGAATCAAAGCTTTCACCTTTGGGCTCGCTCTCTGTGCCCTCTGCTTGGTCAGTGTCTTCTGTGCACTCCTCAGATTCATTGCGCTCTAGGATCTGCACCCTTTGCTGCCCATAGTAGTCATAGTCATCCTCCATTTCCTGCTTGATGTGGATGTTACCCACCAGGGTCTGGATGCGCACAGGCCGGGGCTGCTTGCGGCAGTGCGTGGTCTCAGGGGTGGTGGACAGGTAGCGCTCCATTTGCTGGGAGCGCTCATGGATGCGTGTGATCCAGCTGGGGTCTTCCATGTGGTGGTCACGGGGCAGGCCGAGAGCAGTTTCGTGGTGGCTGACCACTGCACCACTGTAGAAGGAGCGCTCACCACTGCCATTCTGCATGGAGCAAGCGTAGAGTGCAGAGTAGATTCGGTCCACACTGTGCTGTGGGTGGCTCTGCAGGTAGCCTGATTCTGTGTCACTGCTCTGGCCGGATGTGCCTGACTCTGGTGTGCCTCTTGGTGTGTCCTGACCGGAATCCTGGATGCCTGGGAACACATCGCCCACGTTTTGTGACACGATGCGTGTACACTCATCTATGACTGTTTTGATTTGCAGGATGCTGGCGGCTGTGAGGATCTGCAGAGCTTCCGACTGTGAGACTCTCAGCACACCGCTGTACATGAAATCAATGAGCTTTTGCACCGACTGTACGGACACCACCGACGGGATTTCGATGTCGCTGTAGCCTAGCAGCAGCTTGTCCTGGAAGAAGGGGCTGCCGGCTGCTAGCACGCAGCGATGTGCGCGCAGCATGCTCCCGTGGATGCGAACCGTCACGTCACAGAAGTGGCCACGGTTGCGCTGCTCGTTGAGGGTCTCGAGCACGGAATTGCTGAAGTTGTGAAGGTTGATGCTGTGAATGCGCTCGGTCATCCCCTTGCAACTGATGTCACCTGTAGTACAGTGAGGCAAATAACAAGACAGGGCACATAGTTAGTTATATATAGCTGATGGCATTTCTAACTCAGGTCTTAGAAGAGTAAAGCCAGAGCCACCCTCCTTGCAGATGCACACCCAAGCGGGGAGAAAGCTGGGAAGCCTGCACACACAGCCTAGGCAACCAACCGATGCCTTGAGTTTCCCCACCTCTGAACTTAGTGTCCCAGCTAGTTTGGATATTGCATTCATCCGGATCCACATTCAGGCGATGCTGTTTTCTAAAAGGATAACCAGATAGATGGGCGGTTGCCTGCTGTTCCTATAACTGCAGCATGTTAGCCCAGGGAACACTCCACCCTCCCTCTCTCTGGACAGGCCTAATAATCCCAAGTCCTCTGGGAAATTTTAATTCCTGTCAGGTTACAGATATTTCTTATTCCATCAGTAGGCAGCAACAATATCCATAGTTTAAAAATTAATCCCTTCCTAGTTTACATGGCATATTATTATCGGATCCTATATCAGATTTGCAAAACTTCTTAGAAAATTCAACCCAGACTAAGATGTTTACCACACCACTGCCACCACCCTTTCCAGATGACAGGAGGCAGGCTGAATGCAATTTGCTTGCAGACAGTGAACTTTTTGGCTGCTTCTGTATCTCCTCTCTCTTACCACCCTTGATAGTCAGCACACTCACACGGATGGCTCTGTGAGATACTGCTGCTGCTGCTGATGATGATGAGGAAGGGATTTCCTTGTTTGTTTTTTAAGACAGTTTCTCACTGTGCCACTTAGGCTGTCCTGGAACTCACAAGTAGACCAGGCTGGCCTTTAACTGAGAGATCCTCCTGCTTCTGCCTCCAGAATTAAAGGTGTACTTGCACCACCACTCCCAGAAAGAAGGGATGTTTTAAAAGGCCAGAGCTGTTTTAAAAAGCTGAGTGGGATCATACGAGGTGATCACATTTATCATTTCAAATGGGCGCTTAGAGTAAAAGCGAGCACTGTTCATAATGAGGCCAGGAGAGCGGGAGTGAACTGGAGGCAGTGCAGAAGCTTCATCTGAGCAACCGGGTGTTTAGCAGAACTTTTACACTGTTCCCAGAAGGAGGCTCTGCTCGTCTGACCAACTGCCATCCTATGTTCCAGGCTGTCTACACAGGTGACAATGTTGTTAACATCATTCCATACTGAGAAGAAAGCAGATGGCTATGGCACAGTCCCAGGGATTTCCCATTTTTCTACCTCACCCCTCAGACGTCTTCTTAAGAATACCTTTCTATAAGCCATAAGCCATTCATAGTCAGAACCATACTTGTAACTTCACAATCTGCAATGTTTTATTTTGAGAGAAAACATGATTGGATTAAAAGGTACCTAAAAGATTAGTGAGGAATACTTCCAGTTCTCTCTGTGAGAGGCACTATCACTGATGGTTAGATTATGAGGGGTCTGAGTTAATGAACTAATTAAGCTCTTCATAGATTTCATAATAAGATGCTGTTTGGGGTAGGTAGGACTTGGTTAGAGGAAGTAATCATTGGTCATGTGCCCTTTGGGGCTGTATCTTGCTATGGCTTCTTTGAGTCTATCTGCTTCCTTTACTCTATGACATTATCTATGCGTCCTGCCATATGTGTTCATTACAATAGGACCAAGAAAGTGTGGGTTGAACCCTCTGAAATCATGAGCCAAGGTAATTCTTTCCAGTGTTAGTTGGCTTTCGTCAACTTGACATAGGCCATAGACACCAAGGAAGAGGAAATCCCAATTGAGGAATCGCATCCGTCAGATTAACCTATTTTATGGGACATTTTCTTGATTGCTAATTGATGGAGGAGAGCCTGGTCAGCCCTGGGCAGGTTTGGGGTAGTATGAGAAATGAGGCTGAGCAGGGCTGGAAAGCAAGTTGTCTTAGTCAGTGTTCTATTGCTGAGAAGAAATTTTATGACTAAGACAACTCTTATAAAACAAAGCATTCAATCAGGGCTTACTTTCAGTTCCAGAGGTTTAGTCCATTATCACTGTGGAGGCACACAAGTATACTTGGTGCTGGAGATGGAGTTCAACATCTGAATCCGCAGGCAGCAGGAGAGAGCGACTGGGCTGGGCTTGGGCTTTTGAAAGCTGTCCCCTAATGAGACACTTCCTCCAACAAGGCCACACCTACTTTAACAAAGCCAGAGCTCCTAACCATTCTCAAATAGTGCCACTCCCTCCCACCTAAGCATTCAAATATGGAAGCCTATGGGAGCCATTCTTATTCAAACCACAACACAGGTATTCCTGCCAATTCTGCTTCAGTTCCTCCCCAAGGCTTCTTCCTTGCTCTAGCTCTTGCATCATTCAGTGATGCAATCTCTTTCACCTTCCATCAGGTTTATTGTGTGCCCGAAATACTGTATTGAACTTTCTAACTTTTTCATGTAATCATAAAATTCTATTTGCACAATTGAACGAGTGTGGCAAATCCCAACTCTATATGTTATACAAAATATATCCCTAAAGGAAGATCCCAATAATTCAGGGATGGATATCCAGGAATTGACTCAATAGATCATGGTCCAGCTTCTTGCTGAGTTTTATATTCTAGATACATGCATATGTAGAAGGAAAATGATAAGGGCAACCTTTTCTTCAAGCCTTATTATCTGTTAAACACTGTCCAAATCATTCTGTATATTATACCATTTAATCCTCAGAGCAGCCATGGGGGACAGGTTGTATTATTATTGCCATTTATACACTGGGCTGATACAGAGGTGGAGCTGGTGTATGAGAGCAGGTGGTGTGGTTCTGTATTTCTCTCTTGACAGTTTGACAACATCACATGCTGTGTCTATATGGGAGCTACCATCAGAGGCCCATACAGCTGCTCCAACCACCAGCTCTCAAGTTAAAAGTTAAAAAGACCACCTCCAGCCTTTGGCTTCTAGGCCTCCAGACTTCAGTGTAGCTTAAACATATACACATGCATGTGAGAGCATGCAACAGATATCTAGCAACATAGTTAAATGGCTATAAACAGATGGCAGGTAAATCACCATCTCTGGGCAGGGTGGGCTTATTAGCACACTTCTCTTTCTCCACAGGTAGACATCAGTGCACATTTGATCATGATGCCGGTCACATGCACTGCAATGCAGAGGTCAGATGACATAGTTGGCTTCTTTCCACAGAGTGTAAGCAGCAGCTTCTTCACAATTAGTACTCTGGTTAATATTCTGTATGTTTTTACCCAGTAAGGAATTCTCCCCTATATAAGACCCTCTCCCCTTTTTGCAGCAATCCGATGTTATTTTTTCTTTCTGTTTGAGGTAAGAGAATGTTATGGTTCTAAAAGTTTCTATCTGATTTAATCAAAGTTATATACAGCAAGTAACTAGCAGAGTTGGGATTAGAATCCATATTTCTTGGTGCTCTGAGGAATGACACTTCAATTGTCCAGGATCTAGGACCATCCTCATTCAGAGAGAACAAGAGAAAGAGGGGGGGGGGAGAGCGAGTGTGAGTAAAAGCTTTACTTTGAAACGTTGCTTAAGAGATGAGAGCATTAAAATAGTATTAAAAACCTATTTTTTTCTTACATATTCACACATGCACAAGAACAACTTCGTGAGAAAAATCTGCTTGTTTGACTAAACTGAAGATTTAGCCAATTTAAACAATCAGGTTATTTGCTAAATAGTCTATATAATATTATCATTGTTATCAACTTCACTGAAAACCAGAGAAGAAAATGTAAACCTATGTGCAGATACAAGCTGACCTTATCAGCCATCTGGATTTTTATGGACAAGACTCTAAACATCTCCCTGAGTACACTTGGGCCCCACTGCAGTGAGCTGCCATAAAAGGCTGGCTTCTCTTTCGATGGTGGTGGTACAGATAGGACGGAGAAACTTTGCCTCTCCATTCAGGCATGCCTCCTTCCTCCAGCACACAATGCAGAGGCAGTTCCTTTCCCAGGCTTGCTTTTATTTTTAACTCTCATACAGTGGGAAAGTTTCTGCCACAGTGAGGCAAAGTCCAGGCTTTTGTGAACATGTCCTTTTCATCCAATGAGCATTAATGTATAGATTCCAATGGAATAAATTTGAAATAGCCTACTGTAGATTTGTCCCCCATTGAAAACAAATCTTGATTAGATGGTATTCAAGAACTGTATAGGAAGGAACAGTGTGAAAATGCTAACTCCATTCTTTCTAAGATTGGCACTGAATAGGCATCTGGGCTATTCAAAATAAGCAAGAAAAAAACCCACAAAACCCCCCAGATACCCCTAAACCAAATAACCTCCCTCTCCAGGAAACCCCAACTCTTCAAAAACTACACAACCTTATATAGATTTTTGTGTATTTGAAAATGCCACATTGCTGTAAAAAAGCCCTCAGTGGCATGAGAAGACTGTTATTAAAAATAGATCTCTTCATATTATCTTAAAAGAATATCCTCCCCACCTGGTTTTGCACCAGAGTAAAAAGTCAGCCTGTGATGACACTTCCTGGAAACATTCAAGAAACTGTCCTAAGGACAGTGAGGATGTAATTATTCCAAGTGACTGTTCCCTGAGAGCACACACAAATGATGGTGCTGAGGCAGAGCCAAGTCCCCAAGAAGAAATCTGCCTGAAGAAATGGGCGGTGCAGGGCCTGGTGCAGGTTTTACGGGAACTTTGCCCCTGCCTGTCCTGTAAGCTGCAGGGGTCCAGGGCTAGGACTTAGCATGAGAATGAAAAGCTGCCTGAGAATAAGAGAAAATGGACAAGAATGGGAACAGCAGGCAAGACAATCTTTTTTAATTAGGTGTGAAATCCAGTTCTTTCTCAAGCAGGAGAGCAAAGGGATATATAAAACAGTGGAGGGCAAGGGTAAGGTGCAAGGGAGGGGCTGGGGAGGGGGGGATGGGAAGGCCTGGCTGGAAAAAGGAGGAAATACCAGTTCTCAAATGAAACCCAGTATTGATCGAGCCAACTGGTCTAAATCAAAAGTCGGGCTCAAAGAAGGTCAAT